CGTCATCTCTGTTCATACGATTGTGGAAAAATGCAGCTACTAGTCCTTCAGAACCGCAAACAAAATAGAAGGAATACATTTCATATAACTGACTAGCTGGTAGTCTCGAAATCTTAATTATATATACAAAATAATCCTTGTCAAGTACTCATCCCTTAGCATTAACTAATCAATGATCTGGTGCACAAGATAAATGAGCTTCAGATAAGTATGCTCACCGGTTAGGTGTGGTCATGAGGCCTACTTCGAAAGCCTACTTACGCACAAAAAATAGGTGTTGGAGTACCTCTTATTTTGTTTGAAGAAATGAGTGGAATGGATTCGTAAGTTGAATTTACTAAAAGCTGCATGTAGATTACCGATTTGTACAAATAAGTCCTTGGCGCATCATCCTGTGGCCTCGGTGAATCCTTGCCGAGCTTTCGTCCTTCATATGACAGACATCGTCAGAGCGGGATACCATGCTTTACTATAATTCACCAGGTAAATAGACAAGGAAGGAGGCCGGCTGCAATCTTGACTACTTTTTATAGCTTGGCTTGGTCCACTTAGTGAGACATCAAATGATTTTGTCAGTGCTCCTACGCTTTTCCTACATGCTGTTGGAAAGTCAAGTGGATGCAATTAAGGCAATTGTGACAGAACAGCTGCATCCTCCCATACAGCACTTAACTTTTCTTCTTTGATCCTTCAATGGTACCTCATGTGATTGCGTGCATTTCAAGTGTGTTGCTTGCATGCAATGCTCGTGAGATGCGTGGGGCTTGAGAGTAAAAACAAAATTTGAGACTAATCAGGCCTTTTGCCCGGCGGTACTTCTTACTCATTTCTCTACATATAATCCCATACAATAGCCAGAGGCAGCTTCCACGTAATTTCCTACATTCGTTCCTTTTATTCAGGGTGTTGGCTCTTGTTGTCTCCATTTCCAGCTATGAGTTTGCCATTAGGTGTCCTGTGTTGGTTGTGTTCGGACTTTTGGACCAACAAACCTTTGCAGATCGTTCTATATTTAGATAAACTCTTATGTATGGGTCGGCGGGTCTCCCTCACATAGACGCTAACACATGAATACAAGACCTTATAGCGGCCCAAATGGAAAGTGGGTCTCATATTTCCCGAAAATATGGCATAAATGGGCAGATATAGCCTAGCAAAAGGAGGAGGCTTGATTAACCACAAAATTGGTCTTCATTCTCGAGCCCTACGCGTATCACGAGCATTGAACGTAAAAAACACGCGCAATGGAACGCATTCACATGCGGCACCATTGCAATATCAACTAAAAAAATTAAGTGCTGTATGGGAGGATGTAGATATTCATTCACAATTACCTCCATTTCATGCTTCAGTTACAGCCACCTCACATGTCATTCTCAGCCGCTTGACTTTTCAGCAGTATCTAGGAGAGGCATAGAAGCTCCGACCAAATCATGAGATGTGGAACAAGCCAAATTATAAAAAGTAGGCAGGATTGCAACCGGCTTCTTTCTTTGTCTTTCTCCTTAGTGAATTATCGTAAAGCATGGTGCCCTGCTCTGCTGATGTCTGTCACGTGACGGACGAAAGCTCGGCAGGGATTCACAGGGGTCACGGTGGCTCACCGAAGACCTATTCGTGCAAATCGGCAATCTCCTTACACTCTGCGGTAAGACTAACTTACGAATCCCTACCACTCACCTCTTCAAACGAAATGAAAAGTACTCCAACATGAATTTAGAAAATAATTTTTCTACATATCTACGAAAAATATGTTTAATTATTTTGTTGAATAAGTTCTTCATGATGCGTCTTCTCTTGCACAACCACAGCTACAAGTATCTCTCATTAGAGCCTCTGTTAAGATATATATCTAACCCCTCTAGTTCGAAATGTCATGTTAACTGAAAGGTCAGAATACGTGAACATGCCAAGCGATTCTTTTAGGTCGGGCTTTTTCTTCCCTAAGTTATTTGGTGCACAAAGGCTGCAAAGTGGATGGACGAATCACAAAATCGCCTGAGTCAAAGTTTAGAATAGATCTGAAGAAAGTTGGGTCTCGGGGAGTCCCCCACTAAATTCCTGTTATTCTTTTTCGAATTATCGCTAAGCATGATGTTCTGCTCAGACGACATCCGTCACATGACAGATTAAGGCTTGGCAAGGATTCATCGGGGTCGCAGGGCGGTTGACAGAGGACCTATTTGCACAAATCTACAATCACAGCTCCAAGGCGATTATACTACAGCTTCTGGGCCGCCTGCAAAAGGAGGCGACGCAAATAGTTTTTTCTTGCCTTGGTTCGAAGCATAGTCACTTCTCTGTACTTTTGACTCATTCTTTCTCTCTCGCATGAAGATAAAAAACAAATAGGCTCATCAACATAATCAGACGTGTGCCCGACATTGCGCAATCGGAGTGATGGTTACAACATGTATGTAAAAATGGGGAGGCCGAGAACATACGTTACTTTTGCTGTCCTAATTACTTTAAACCATCACTGCTGGTTTCGTACATAAGCGAATACAAACAGGCACACACACACAGAGACATACACACTCATAGGATTCGAAGTTTACATGTGACTAAAATTAACCAAATCATTTAAATACCTCAGAGGTCAGATATGGAGAATATATAGAGCTTTTTAAGTATTTGCCGGAGAGTTTGCTTGATTCGTTAGCTTGAATTTGGTTGTAACGATGCTAACTTGCCCTGATGATGCTCGTCATGACGGATGAAAGCCTAGCATCTTTTCACTGAAATCGAAGGAGATTACTTTGGAGACAGTGTGAATATGAATCTTCCAGTAAAGCTAATCGACAGCAGGTCAAGAGAAATCAGCTGTCGTCTTTAGGTGGAATCGAACTTCGAATCTCTTCACCAAACACATTAACTGGAAATGGAAGTAAGGTCAGCAATTATGGAATAAGAGTATTCTCGTAATCCAACTGGGATGCGTCTTACCCTGTAAAGATACCACCAACTAACCGGAGAATGAATTGCATCATGGGGTAACTAACAGGCAAGAGTCAAATACATTCATGTGCAGACAAAAACAGGGAAATTGTAGTAATGGATAGAGTAGATTAGCTATTTTAAATGGTGGAGGCTTTAGATGACTTTTAAGCCTATATGATTGGCATCAAAGGGCTGCCTGCAATAGGGTAACTAAGAAAAGACTAGAGAAATGAAAAAAGGACATGTTATAGTAAAAATAGAGGCCCCCGAATAAGTATACTTTTCCTAAGTTATACAGAAAAGTATAAACAATCATAATTATCGTGAATAATAAAGGCGAATATGAGAGGTATTCACCCTATTTTGTTTAAGGTGATGAAGGACTGGTAGTAGAATTTTCCCAAAATGATATGAGTTTAGCTGACGTTTTCCATTGAATTTCACATTGCCTTGCTTTCCTAGAAGTTGTTCTCATCCAGGGTGGACTGCAGTTTTGACCTCGCATTGGTCTTATCAACACCCCCAGCGGGAGTCAAACTGTGGCAGTGCGGAATGGGAGCTTGACACGTTAACCACTCGACCACATTGCCACGAGTGCCATTTAGAGGGGGGTGTTGATAAGACCGATTCGACGTCGAAACTGACGTCCACTCTGGATAAGAACAACTTTTAGGAAAGGAAGGCAATGTGAAATTGAATGGAAACGTCATCTCTACTCCTTTCATTGTGGGAAAATTCTACTACCAGTCCTTCATCACCTTAAACGAAATAGGGTGAATACCGCTCAAATTACTGATTTACTGGTAGTCTCGAAACTCTACTCAAATACGAAAATTAAGGCTAAGGATTTACAAAATTTCTGAACTTATTTGTCTTCAATCAAGTCAAATATTGGCGTAAATGAATACGTGTATCGAGCTTTTACGCTGCATTGCCATGGCTCGAGTCCCGCTGGGAGTTCTGTTGAAACCAATTTAGGAGAGGTTAAAACTATAGTCCACTACAGCCGGGATGTAAAGACCTTTTGTAAGGCAAGGCTATGTGAACTTCAGTGGAAACGTAAGGCCATCTTATATAATTGTGGCAAAATTTAACAAGTCTCTTATCACCTTAAAGAAATAGGTGACGACAAATAAAAAAATGCACGCCCCAGGGGTTTTAATAGAGGTTTCGTCAAAACCAATCCTATATGAATTTATTCCTGGCCTTCTCATGGCATAGCCTCATGCTCTCTGGTCGGCATAATAAGGACTGGAAACGTGTACATAATTTTTTTAATCGTAACATGCTATTTTGTGCAATACTTTCCTTTAATACGAAAAAAAACCAAATTGAACCTATTTTTTTCCGCAATGTAGTAAGTTGCGATTAGTCAACTCCCCAAAGTTCACTTGAATGCTGGATCGATCTCGAGGTTCGCCACACCATTCGGCATACCTCGATGTCGCAAGAACAGTCGAAGAGCGTCTCGGGCGTTCTCAGTGATGCTGGTCTCTCTAAGGCTTTAAGCATACTTAACAAGTACACAAATCAGAACAAGGCTTCGGTACAGGACAGTAGCCAGTACTCCAGCGTACAACAGTCCGACCAAAGATCTCCTGGCCTTGCCGATGAGACGACTTCTGATGCTCTCGACACTACATATATTCCCCAAGTGACGGAAACGGAGAGCCGTGTGACGACGGGAATCCAGGGCTCGACAACTACAGGCACCACTAGCTCTGACCCAATGACAAAGCGCAGCGAAAATCTAAAGCCAAGGCCGAATAGAAACTCCACTGATGTGATAGAATCTGTAGAGGTATCCACGACACCCACGCAAGAGACCACGCCATCTGAAGGGGAAAGGAACTCACCACGCCTGGAAATCACAGAGACTGCAACTACTTCGGGTACCGACCAGTCGAAGAAAAAAAAAGGGTCTCTACAGGATACACGATTACCGCTTAAAAAGAAGGACGTTAGATCAGAACAATTCGAGGTACCACAAAGCTCGGAGCTGAAAAGCGAAACGGAGCAAGGCAGAAGCTCATCTAAACATGGAGGTGAAACTGACGGGACAGTCACTTCTTTGGCCGTGCCAAGCAGGCGTAAAGAGAACCCAAGGTATGGAAAGAGCTCATCTCCAAAAAGACCTCCAATTATTAACCCACCTCCATGGCTTAAGCCAGTCATTGCGAGCAACAGGGAGGAAACTGATTCGCGCTCTGTGAAAATGCACATAAGACCGATGAGCGCGGGCCCAGATCCGTCTCGGGACCTGGATAACGCAAGCCCCATCACAAAAGAGATATGCAGCCGCTACGAGGAGCACTATTGCTTTTTCGTATATTTCCCTCCATCAGAGGTGAGAGTTGGTGGTTTGATCGCTTAATTGTTTTAACAAATAAGTACCAGCTTCCTGACTTTTGAGGCTGATTTAGAGAGCAATAATTTGTCTTTGTCAACTTCCAACATTTGTCCCTACCTCCACATGCAATCATCCATAATTACCACATTAAAAACACGAATAGATGTAAAGTCAAGCTCAGGTCTATCATGCTATATGAAATCCTCATCTATCACATTAGCACGTGTGTCGAGCGGTGAGCTATCACTACCTTACTCTAAGAATTTTATGCAGAGGCGCATCAAACCAATACCACTACCTAGAAAACTGCGTCTCAGTAACTCCTTTTTGATTTAAACTTGAAATTTAATATTATTTGTCTAAGTGATCAGAAGCGATAAGCCTAAATAAATAATCTACAAATAGAACATATATATGGATTGGCATCACTATCACTATTATACGGATATAATTGAACTTAAATTTTATGTAGCAAAACAAAGTGAAATCTAATTCGCTTGTTTAGACGAATTATAGCCAACTTTTCGAATGGATAGATTATTTATCAGTCCCTCCAACACTTAGGAAGTAGGATAAAAAAATCACTTTGAAATGAGAAGATTAGAAAATGTCCAATTGAAGGGGGTTATACAATTCAAAATTATAGGTCTTAATTGATGATGAACATTTTTCCCTTGTTGATGAAATGAAAGAAAGCAATAATCAGGAAAAAACTGGTATAAAAGTATTGATCCATGACTTGTAAATA